AGAAAAAGGATATTGTCAGACAAAAGTTGCAGAAGTTGTGCACCCGACTGTCCGGCTAAAAGTATAAGGGTGCTAACTAACCAATAGCTCTAAAGGATTTTAGTTAAATACCATTATAACATTTTATAATTATAATTTCGCACACTTTAAACCACATATACCACCACATCAACTAATCTTTTCAAGAAATATACTCTCCGAATATAAAGTATACCGAAGTGTCTTTGAATTTTTAAACTTACTTATTACTTATTGTTATATCCTGCATTATTGGTTTCCCCCATTGCGCAACCTCTGAACATGCATTACCAAATTATGAATCGTTTATGTCTATTATGATTTTTGTCATCTCTTAAAAGCCATTTGTTTTAATCATATTAATATGCTTGCAAAATTTAGTGCACTGCATGGCAGGTTTTTACTACACTAGTTTGGAAATAAGAACAGACAGTCTACTTTAGCAATAAATGCAGGAGTAAGTTATTAACTTGTAATCTCAGAGTCTTACATAATCACAGCTGTTTAACTTGTTCACATGCTAGACTCTAAAACAATTCGCTAGATCTGGTACAAGTCAATAACAAAATTGTAATCAACTATGGTTGCCAGGACTTACTGGAGCAAAAACGCGGCCAAACTCTACTTTGAACATAAGAAGAAAGAACAACTCTCGATTGTTTAGAGTTGGGCTCAGAATACAAGTATTATAAATATTTGCTGACGAAAAGTGGACATAGTAAGTATTCTTTGAAACGTATTTATATTTATTAAAGTTTTTAACAAAACGAAATTATTTATAAATTTTTTTCTAGTTGGATATAAGCGAGCTAAAAAAACTACCCAAGCGATGTCGAAAGCTGCCAACAAGTTAGGCGAAGCATTCTGGCATACAACAATCTTTCATAGTAGTCAGGGTATTTTTTTGAGACTGACTATGACGACGTTATCGCCTCCGACTGTTGGATTTGGCAACATTTTGTCGGGCTACAGACGGCCGGTAACGTACAATCGAGCACTCAGATAGGTCTCTCGAGGAACTAGGGTTTTTGCAAGAAGAAATAAAAATATCGAGATTTTCTGGAAGAAACACTTTGCATGAATTAGACAAACCGTATCTTTACAATAGTAATAGTTGTTTATTTATTACTTATAATTTTTTTTGTTTGTTCAATAATGACAGGTTTCTATTTTCTTCTTTTGTAAAATAAGTCTTTTTCGTAATGTACATGTTGAGCGCCCGACCCCATTGACAACATGATGCCCATCAATGTTAATGTTAAACGCTTAAGAGCTACACTCTATACCATTGTAAAATAATCCATCGCCTTCTTTTCACGGACAGGATAATATATTTATTTATACTTACACATTTTCAACAATTTTGGCAACGTATTTTTCCTAACGATGATATAATTTGTCAAGCCACTTAATACTAAAACTGCACTGTATTATACTAGCCACTAATAATGATTAAACTTTTTGTTGATCGATCCAGGCATTTTATTATTGTTATCTAATACGATAGTTGTCACAGTCAGTTTATCTGGTTAATTACTAAAGACCATTACTGTGGCATAATCCAGCTAATGACTAATGATTATTACTGTGGGATAATCCAGCTAATTACCAATGATTATTACTGTGGGATAATTCAGCTAATGACTAATAATCTTTACTGTGGGATAATTCAGCTAATTACTAATGATTATTATTGTGGGATAATCCAGCTAATGACTAATGATTATTACTGTGGGATAATCCAGCTAATGACTAATGATCATTACTATGGGATAATCCAGTGAATGACTAATAATTATTATTGTGGGATAATCTAGATAATTACTAATGATCCTTACTGTGGGATAATCCAGCTAATGACTAATGATCCTTACTGTGGGATAATCTAGCTAATTACTAATGATTATTATTGTGGGATAATCCAGCTAATGACTAATGATTATTATTGTGGGATAATTCAGCTAATTACTAATAATTATTATTGTGGGATAATCCAGCTAATGACTAATGATTATTACTGTGGGATAATCTAGCTAATTACTAATGATCCTTACTGTGGGATAATCCAGCTAATGACTAATGATCCTTACTGTGGGATAATCTAACTAATGACTAATGATCCTTACTGTGGGATAATCCAGCTAATTACTATATACTAATAATCCTTACTGTGGGATGATCCAGCTAATGACTAATGATCCTTACTGTGGGATAATCTAGCTAATTACTAATGATCATTACTGTGGGATAATCCAGCTAATGACTAATGATTATTACTGTGGGATAATTCAGCTAATTACTAATAATTATTACTGTGGGATAATCCAGCTAATGACTAATGATTATTACTGTGGGATAATCCAGCTAGTGACTAATGATCCTTACTGTGGGATAATTTAGTTAATTACTGATGATTATTACTGTGGAATAATCTGGTGATTACTATTGCGAATGGTCTTGCTAATTTCGAATAATCATTACTATGACCTTGGTAATTACTATCATACTACGAGATAATCTGGTTAATTACTAATGATCATGATCGCGGGATAATCTGGCTAATTACTAATGATCACTATCGTGGGATATCCGGTAATGACTAATGATCGAGATAATGATCGCCGGTTAGCTTATGCAATTTGGCATAATGATCGCCAGTTAGCTTATGCAATTTGGCATAATGATCGCCGGCTAATGATGTGCGCACCGGGTGCATTACTATGGCCTTGCTAATTACTATTATACTACGAGATAATCTGGTTAATTACTAATGATCATTATCGCGGGATAATCCGGCTAATTACTAATGGTCACTATT